CAGCCCCGTTTCCCCGACGGCCAGCTGGGGACACCAGACAGCGGCGGACGCCCCTGCACACATTCCAGCACTTGGGAGGGCAGCGAGAGGCTTGGGAATCCCGGGCCTGTCCTTAGCCGGCTGTGGGCTCTCGGCCGAGTGACTTTAGATCCGGGGTAAAAGAGGGACGTCTCCTGATAATGGGATGAGGCTCCAATGGAATAGCCCACGTGAAACGCTGGGCTTCCAGATAATTAAGGCCCCGCCCCATTGCCAGCCAAGTCCCTGAAAGAGGGGCGGATTGGGTGGGAGGTGGGAGCGGAGGCTCTGAGATTTCCCAGCAGGGCTCCGTCTGCCGTTCCTGGTCTGGCAAATGCCTGGTTTTTGTTGTTGTTGTTGTTTTTGGGGTTTTTTGGCGGCTGGCCATCCTGGGGATCCGAACCCCTGAGCAGATGCTTGTTCATCCGAGTGCCATTTTCTCCAGAGTGCCCTCCCTTCCCAGGTCGACACAATCAGTTCTCAGCTTTTTCCACCCATGTTATCCTGAACTCCCTGAAAGCAGCTGCTGTTTCCGCGCCTCCTGCAATCACAAAGACCAGAGTCTGACCCTCTAAGGTGCTCAATAGTTACTAGTCAATTAGAAAAAACTAGATGATATTGGAGCTGGGCTTTGAAGCATGAGTAGGAGTCTGCCAGGAGAAGAAGGAAATGCAAAAACTAACCCGTTCTCTTAAGGGCCTCCCTAGCCCTGGTTCTATTTGTGCTTCAACAGCAACGATGCCTAATGCGTATGGGCCAAGATATTATTCCAAACTCTTTTACTCGTATTAACTCACTTAATCCTGACAACAACCTTAGGAAGTAGAAAATGGGGTTGGCCTGGGGCTCACTTGGGAGAGCGTGGTGCTGCCAACTCCAAGGGTTAAGATCCCCTTACCAGTCATCTTTAAAATAAAATTTAAAAAAAAAAAAAAAAGGAAGTAGAAAATGTTACCAGTAAGTGATTGAGTGTATGCAAAACTGGGTGGGTGCTTCATAGTGAATGATGCATTAGCTTCCCCAGTAGGAGGGAGATGTTGGTCTTGATACTTGCGCTACTTTAATCCATCCATTCTTGTCTTCATGTGTTTGGTATTTATTGTGCATCTTCCAGATATTGTCCTTGGCACTGGGATATAGAAGGGAAAACACAAGCCAAGGTTAACCAAATACACAAATAAACAAATACAATAACGACAGACTGTGTTAAATGCTCTGAAGAAAACAAGGACGATGTGATGGAGGATGGGGGGGAATGGAACTTAGGGCCACCCTAGATAACCATGGGCAGCAAGGGGCACTGAGCTTGAGACTCCCGGAGGATCAGAAGAAGTGAGGAAAAGCCAGGAAAAGTTCCAAGCAGAGGGAATAGCAAGTGCAAAGTCTCAGAAGTTGGAAGCAATTTAGAAAAAAGAAAAGAAGACCAATGTGAATGGAGACGAAGGACTCAGAGTGGGGAGGGGGCTGGGAGTGAGGTTGAGGATGGGGATGGGGCTGAGGATGGAGGGTGGCAGAAATAGAGGAGAGGTGACAGTGGGCTCATGGGGGCGAAGGTGGTCTACTGGACACTCCAGACCAGAGATGTCAAAGAAGCCTTTGGCTGTACAAGTC